TCAGCTTGCCTCGGCCTCAGCCTCAGCCTGCCTCGGCCTAAGCCTGCCTCAGCTCGGGCCTTCAAAATATGGCACGGGACTGGTGTTTTGGGAACACGAAGATCACGAAATGGTCCACAGTTGGCTCCGGGCAATCAAAGTATGGTACAGGAATGGTGTTCCGGGAACACGAAGAACACGTAGTGGCCTACAGTTGGCTCCGGGCATTCAAAATGTGGCTTGGGAGTTGTGTTCTGGGAAGACGAAGAACACGAAGTGGCCTACAGTTGGCTCCGGGCATTCAAATGTGGCCTGGGAGTGGTGTTCTGGGAACAGTATTCCCAGGAATCTATAGGAATCTATAGGAGTCCTGGGGAGTTCCCGGATTCCCCGGATTCTCCCGGCACCAGCCCAGACCCCCCTGGGGAGTCAAGATGCTCTCTTTTGAGCCCACTAGAAACCTATCAGTCTTCGCTGTGAAGTAAAAACTGTTGACTTGTATGAAAATGGGTGTTAGTGTTCGTTTGGGGGACCTTCCCGGGGCCCACCTAACGGATCTCTTTGGCTCTAGTTCAACCCCAGTTCGATTCAAGTTCGATGCAGGTTCGGTTCAGGGTTGACTCACGGTCGGCTCGAGTCGACGGACGTTCGACGCAGCTTCGACGCACGAGTGGAGCGAGTGTCTCCCAGAATGAGCATCAACGGCGGAGAAGGAGGAAGAGGAGGAGGAGGATGATGATGTCGGCGACGCCCTGACGCCTTTGGCGACATCCCTCCCTCCCTCCCTGCCTTCGCGCCTTTGGCGTCATCCTGGTCGTCGCCCCCTCATCCTCCTCCTCTTCCTCCTCCTCGTCCTCTCGTCCTCTGCTCTCCCCGTTCCCCCACCTCGGAGGAGAAGGAGGATGTCGGCGATGCCCTGGCGCCTTTGGCGACGTCCGTCCCCTCTCTCCATCCGTGGGCGGCGGCGGCTCGTCGGTGTTGCTGCTGCCTTCGCGGCGAAGCTCGCTTCGCTTCGGCCTCGAGCGGCCGTCGCCGTTCTCCCTTTGTGCGCGGGGCAGTGCGTCGCGAACTCACGCGGGCCTGGAGGGTTTCTCCGAAGGGCTTGTGCAACCCGTCCTCCTGATCCTCCTCCTCCTCTTCCTTTTCCTCCTCCTCTTCCTCCTCCTCTTTCTCAACTTCACTCCGCCTCCTCCTCCTCCTCCTCCTCCTCCTCCTCCTCCTCCTCCATCTCCTCCTGCCCCTCCCCCGCCTCCACCTCCTCCTCCTCGAGTCGCGTACGGCCCCAGGGGAAACCCTGCACGCGGGCGGCTGCTCGGAGAAGCGCTAGCGTTTCTCTTCAAGGGAGGAGAAGCCACCCCGACCCCGATAATCGGCGTTTGCTAAACGGCCCTGGGCGATTACTAAACAGCCCTGCCCTGTTCGATCCCTTCCTTGGGTGCGTTTACTAAACGGCTTCGTTTGTCGGGGTGCTCATTATGGGGGTGGACTCTTGCTCTCCATCTCTCCGCCGTTCTACGTCTTTGCCGTCGTCGCCCACGCCACTCGTCATTCATCTATACCTTTTTCATTACGGCTTCGAAGACCAAGTGCGCCCCAGTTCCTTTGTTGATATCGTAACCTTGAAAGCGATTCGCTGGTAATGTCCAGCCGGCGGAAACGATGACTACCGTAGTGGAACGCAGCAGTCCGTGGCATTGGTCGGCGTTCTGTTTTGTGTGTTCGGGCCCTCGCGCAGTTTCGTTCTTTGGGCCCCACGGCGGTCCCCGTTAGTTACCCGCGTTCAAAAGTGTTTTCATTTCCGCTGCGCAGTTGAATTTCCGGCAACCGCATTGTGAGGAAGTCTCCGCGCGAGAGCCTCATTAGGATTAAGAGGCACTTCCCACCCCTGTAGATCATTCAGAACTTCGAAAGCGAATGCGCGCGGCGCTGAGGCGAGAGCCGTGCTTCCAACAACTGCCCGGCCTCTGCCCATGCATGTTCAAAGACTTTCAAGTTCCGCGAGCTTGGGTGGTGGGGACGTTTCTGGCGAAAGACCCGGGCCGTCCTGCCCCGACAAGCTTGGTGCGCGCGACGGGGAAGGTCTTTACGTGTGAGAAGAGGTGTGGAGGAGGAGGAGGAGGAGTAATGGCGTTCGCGGTTCGGTCGCCACGGTTGGGTCGCAGTCGGTTGCGTTCGGTCGGTTCGGTTCGGTTCGGTCGGTCATCATGTTGTTGCCGCATCGTTGTGTCCTTCGATTTCTGAGGGGGAGGGTGGGGCTTACTTCGCTCGGGAGCTCCCGAACGAAGTGAACCCCACCCTCCCCATCAGAAATCGTCGGGGGGTAGGGGTGGGGTTCGCATGTGCCCCCCCAGCAAGAGAACGCAGAGGAGGGAGCAGGGACGTCTTCCCGCCGTTCCCGACCCCCGCCCCACGTCCGAGGACCGAGCTTGCTCGACGCGACTTCCGCCGTCTCCGAGGTCCGTCCCCGGCGTCAGATGGAGCGAGTGCGCGGGCCGTGTTGCGCGGGCCATCTCCGAAAGGAAGTTTGTCTTGTGGAGGAGGGTCAATGGAGAGGAAGCATGTTGCCAAATAAGTTCCAGATGTCTAGAACATATGTTAAACTTGGTCTATACATGTACAAAACATGTTTTTGAAACATTTCCAGGACATGTGTCCTACATTTAAACACAGGTTTAATTCGATGTTAGGACTATTCGGGTGTACATTGTCGTGACATCCACAAAGCTTCTCATTTGCGCGTTGCTCATCATATGATTTGGCGCGTGATGGGGCCGAGTCATTCTTTCGGCCCCTTCTGATTATATTCCCCGTGCGGCGTGTGACGGTTTCTGGATTTTGGACGCCGCCCGATTGTTTTCGGCGCGGTCGCGATCAGAAGAACGGCTTCTGGTGCACAGTCCCCAACCAGATCGTCGGGAGGAAGCACCGCATGAGAGATACGCAGGACACGAGTTTCAAGGGAGGGTCCAAGATTGTGAGGAGGGCGAGACCCGAGGGGGGAGAGGAGGAGGCAGGATGGAAGGGGAGGGGGAGGTCGGGCATGGGGGGGGACATGATAAATATATATATATATATATATATTCATATACACATATAAAGACACATACAAATACACATACATGCATACATATACATATATACATATGTATAAACAATTGTGTTTGTACGTCTATGTGTATATGCCTGTATGTATGGATGGGTGGATGGATTGATGTATGGATGTAGGTAGACATGCATCTATGTATGTATGTATGGATGGATGGATGCATTGATGGATGGATGTATGTATGTGTTCGTGTATGTGTGTATGTGTGTATGCATGCATGTATGTGTGTGTACATGCATGCATGGATGTATGTATGTAGGTATATATTTATGTATGTATGTACGTATGTATGTATGTCAGTATGTATGTATGTATGTATGTATGTATGTATGTATGTATGTATGTATGTATGTATGTATGTATGTATGTATATGTATGCACATGTATGTGTGTATGTGTGTATGTATATGTGTATGTCTGCATGTATGCATGTATGAACGTATACATGTATGCGTGTATGTATGCATGTGTGCGTGTATGCATGCATGCATGCATGTATGCATGTATTGTTGTATGCCTGCATGCATGCATGTAGGCATGTATGTATATGTGTGTATATGTGTGTATGGGTGTATTTATGTTTGTATGTATGGGTGTTTGTATGTATGTATGTATGTATGTATGTATGTATGTACGTATGTATGTATGTATGTATGTATGTATGTAGGCATGCATGCATGCATGCATGCATGCATGCATGCATGCATGCATGCATGCAGGTATGTGTATATGTGCATGTGTGTGTGTTTGTGTATGTATGCATGCATGTACGTATGCATGTACGTATGTACGTATACATACATGTATATATGCATGCATGTGTGCATGCATGTATGGATGGATGCGTGGATCGATGTATGCATGTATGTATGGAGGTATATATGTATGGATGGATGGATGGGTGGTGGGATGGATGGATGGATGGATGGATGGATGACTATATATATATATATGTGTGTGTGAAGATGAGGAATAATGTATGATAAGGGTACGCTGTGGAGGAATAGCGCGCGGCGAAAATGAGGAGGGATGATGAGGAGAAGAGGTGAGGTCGAGGCTCTTCACGATGTACGAAGTTGCGGAAGAAAGCGGGAAGCGGAGGAGCACGCGGACAGAGCGCAGGGCGGAAAGCAGAAGGTTCGGAAATCAGACGAGGAGTGAGATTGCGGGGGCGACGATGTGGACAGTGATCAGGACGGTGATGCGGAGCATGGGGTGGAGGAGTTTTGAGAGGAGGAGGAGGAGGAGAAGGAGGAGGATGAGGAAACGGCATATAAGGAGCTGCGAGGAGGGGGAGGGGGAGGAGGAGGAGGAGGAGGAGGAGGAGGAGGAGGAGGAGGAGGAGGAGGAGCATGGGGAGGAGGAGGAGGAGGGCGAGGAGGAGGAGGAGGAGGGGATGAGGAGCAGGAGAGGAGGTCAAGAGCACGGGCGGAGCCTGGTCGTGGACCAGAAGAGTGAATGGAGGAAGGGCGCGAGGAGGAATGATAATATCGGAAGTTGAGGAGGCGGAGGAGGAGGACGCGACGAGTACGAGGAGGAGGAGCTGGAGGAGAAGAAGGAGAAAGAGGTGTACTAGAACAGGACAACAAGGGCGATACTGAGGACGACAGCAAGAGCACGATGAGGACGACGACTTGCGGTGAATGTTGAGGATGAGGAGGTTGGGTGAGGAGAACGACGACTTGAGCAAGAGCAGGAGCAGGTGACGAGGAGGAGGAGGAGGAGGAGCAAATCGAGGAGGAGCAAATGGAGGAGGAGGAAGTGGATGAGGAGGAGGAGGAGGAGGAAGAGGAGGAGGAGGAGGGGGAGGCTTCCACAGCTCGCACAAGGTCGCGGAGGCTGCGGCGCGCGGCGTGTTGTCGAGCGCCGGCCTGGCGTTGAAGATGTTGGTGCCTGGCGCGGGTCACAGAGCCAGGCCGCCGCTACGCCCTCCGACGACGACCAGGACGACGACGCCTCGTCGTCGTCCTGGTCGTCGCCTCCTCCTCCATCTCCTCCTCCTCCTCCTCCTCCTTCTCCTCCACCTCCTCCTCCTCCTCCTCCTCCTCCTCCTCCTCCTCTTCCTCTTCCTGCCCCCTCCTCCTCCTCCTCCTCCTCCTCCTCCTTCTCCTCGTTTTCCTCCTCCTCCTCTCTATCCTCCTCCTCTCCTCCTCCTCCTCCAGCTCCTCCGCCTCCTCCACCTCCTCCCCCTCCCCCCCCCCCTCCTCCTCCCTCCGCCTCCTCCTCCTCCTCGTCCTCCTCCTCCTCCTCGTTTTCCTCCTCCTCCTCCTCGTTTCCTCCTCCTCCTCCTCCTCCTCCTCCTCCTCCTCCTCCTCCTCCTCCTCCTCTCTCCTCCTCTCTATCCTCCTTCTCCTTCTCCTCCTCCTCCTCCTCCTCCTCCTCCTCCGCCTCCAACTCTTCTCTCCTCCTCCTCCTCCGCCTCGTCCACCTCCTCCTCCTCCCCCCCCCTCCTCCTCCTCCTCCTCCTCCTCCTCCTCCTCCTCCTCCTCCTCCTCCTCCTCCGCCTCAAGGCATCTGGGTCAGGAGCACGCAGTTGCCCAGGGCGGCAGCCGCCCAGCTTCCATACATCCTCCATGCCTCCGTTCGGAGACGTCCTCGGCACATCTTAACCATCCGCAATGTCTTCCAGATGTCTCAGGGTGGGCTGCTGGCTCCGACTCGTCATCGCGATAGCTGGGCGGGGGCTGCGCGCGCTCCAGTACAACCCAATGCACGCTTCCAGTGGGGAGCGATTCACATCTATCGCGCAGGCCTGCAAGGCCTACGCTTTCGTGTGCTTGAACGGCACCGCCGCCAAGGGGTACGGCAGGGAGAAGGCCTCGGAGGCGAGGTGGCGACGAGCTGGTGATCACAATTGGTGCATCGAGAGCGGGTGGGCCAGGGGCCCCTTCACGAATAAGAGTACGGGCTGCAGCATCATTCTAGGAGCCAAGATCCGAGGCGGCTCGATCACTCATACTTGGACGCTCCGCCTCACTGGTTGGCCGCGGATTGGCGCTGCGTGCACGCAGCGCTACGTACGACTTCGGGGCTTGCTCGGTCTACTACCCACCGCTGCCCGTAAAGGGCAGCGCTGACGTCTACCACCGCACGTGCGACGCCCTGACAAACTGGTTGCGCTCCCTGCCCTTTTTGAGCACCGAGCGCGTGCTCCCCATTTGTTGCATCGACTTGAACTCAGGGTTCGGCTACCAGCAGCTGGACGGAGACACTACATGGCGAGCTGCCCAGTCCGACGTTTTTGTCCCTTCGGCCCAGGACATGCAGCGCTACGCGGCCGACAGCATCCTGTCCTTGATGGAGGAGCTCGGCCTGGGCCTATTTTTTGGTTGCAAGAGCGCCACGCATATCGATGCTGTGCTCATGCCCAAGACTCTGCTTTGCGACGTTACTTCTGCGGGCCCACTCCGACGCCTCGGACGGGACCTTCAGGTGACCAGTACGCGGCAAGCTCGTGACCATGTACCTGTACACGTGTGCATGGAGTACTCCATCGAGCAGGCGACGGACTCCCATATCCACTGCACATTGGCCGAGAACGCGCGTCTTGGATTTGTGCACCAACGCATTCGCTGGAACCGCGAGGCCCTCATGCAATCACATCGCAGTGGACAGGGGCGAGCAGAATTTCTCATGGAGCTGGAAGCCTACATGAGTACACGTTCAGAGGAATGGAAGGTGATCCAGCACGACGAGCAGGCTCCCAACGCCGATTTGGGGTTTCTTTATGGAGGCCATGGTAACTATTGGCAGCAAGCACTTCGCCAAGGCGTCCGTGTACCGGCCAGGATATCGCACGCTTGCTGCTACCGTCCAACCTCTACTTCGATCAGCAGCGGGCGCTGCGGCGGCAACTCTGTGAATTTGGCGACTCGGAATGCCAGGTCGACGAGCGCCTCCCGCCTGCGCCACTGGCTGCACAATGGCAGCTCAGATGTCACGCTGAATGGCTTCGCTCTGCACGACGTCAGCATTGGCGAAATTGGCAAGAGGGCGCGGTCGACGAGCTGAGCGACGCCCGCAGGCTTGGACGGCGAGCCGAGGTCGCTCGGCTTTCACGTCTGCTGGCGGGCACAAGTGTCGGACCACGGAAGCGGGGCCATCGCCGAGCACCAGTGGCCCTACCGACGGGAGAGGAACTTGCGGAGCGCAAGGCTTTACCAGCAGGACGCGGCGGCATGGCTGCCGCCAGCGTCGAGTGGCTCAAGGGGGCCGACGACTACGTGTACGACGACGCTGCTGGACAGGAAGCGCATCAGTTCATTGCTCCGTGGACAGAGGAGGGAGCGGCATGGGCAACGCATCGCACCCAGGAGATCCGCAGATGGATTCGACGACGGTGGGTGACTTTTTCACCCTTGCCGCCGCGCTTCTCGGCGATATCACGGCGTCGGGATCCCTCATATGGACAAGTAGTAGACGCGCAAGTTTCTGGTAGTCTTCATGCGTCGGCGTCGCAGATCTGGACAGGTGCCGCTGGTTTGCCACCTCAGTCAGGGCGTTGCGCTCTCTTGGAAGCGAGTTATTCACTTCCTCGACCCGCTCGGCCATGGCTTCATGGCAACGGCGGTCGACGCGACCGAGATGCACGACGAGACTCTCTTCGCGCGCGGCTGCGCCCCCCGCCGTCGGAGAGAGACGGCCACCCTTGGCCGGCAATTCTGCGCGCGGAAGCTGCGCCGCCTCAACATCAATCACAGCGCGGACCTGGAGGACATCACCAACGCCTTCGCCTCGATGACTGGCAGAGCCTCGCCGGCGCCAACGACAGCGCCATGCGGGAGGATCACGTGGCGTTCGGTCGGCAGAGATTTCGGTTGGCTGCAGATATTTTTTTTTGGGGGGGGGCATCTGCGTTCCCCCCGTGGGCGCATGGATTGGAGACCCTGGGGCTGTCAAGGTATTCGTGCGGGACGTTAGCGCGGTCTTCGCGTCTGTGCAGGAGCAGTTCGAACGGCGTGGTCCTGAGTCGACTACTTGGTGCCAGCGCAGTCTACATCACGACGGAGAAACTATCGTTCTGGACCTGGCCTTTCATTCCTACGTCGACGACGCGATCCGCAAGATTGCGACTGACGAGCAGACGGCTCGCGAGCTGTCTCGTGGTCTTGCGCCGGCGATCTAGTTCTTTCTGCCGAGCTCAGAGACGACGCGGCTATTCCCTCAACCCCTCCATGAACGTCAGCCTCGTGTCGTTCGTGGGCGAAGGTCTGCATTCTCGACGTCGGAAGCTCACAGAGCAAATCTTCTCGCTGGTGCCCCTGTTCGCGCCACTCGCCACCTCGGGGGCCAGGTCATGGGCAGCGCGTCGTTTCGAGCTGAGTTGAGTTCAAGGATGTCGGGTATGTCCTTCGGCTTCTATCCCATGGGTAAGTGCTGGTACTCGAAGCGCGTCGCCTACGCCGAGAGGCGCGCGGTCTCTCTGGCAAGGGTGGTGGGCCCTGCTCGTTCTGCCCGCGAGGCCTCTCTGCCCGCTCCGAGCCAGGTCGACCAGCTCACGGCCAGGGTGTTTCTTTGTTGGGCGCATAGCCTTGCGAGGGGCAGCCGCGTCTTGGGAGGTGGGCACGCTCGCTCTGTTACCTTTTTGGCCGCCTCGAGGTACTGGGAGGCCCCCCCGCTCGAGGTGGAGTTCCGGGTGGGTTCGTCGTCTACGCTGGCATCAGAAGTGGGCCCTGAACCCTTCGAGGCACCTGAGCGAGTGGGCCCCCATCTTCGGCGACCTCAAACTCGAACAACTCCGAGGCCTCAGCACGCTCACCTCCGAGGGCCACCGCGCGGCGTCTGCTGCCCCCTGGGCCATTCAGTTCGTTCGGGACCTGGAGGCGCTTCGGAGGGTTTCCACGGACGCCGAGGAGGATGTCAGGTCTTGGACGGGCGCCCCTTGAGATTTCTTCGATGACGGGGGGCTGCGGGACTGGTTCAGTGAGCTTGATCTCTCGGTCGCCAGGGCCGCTTGGCTCTCGGCCAGTACCTCTCCACATGGCCCCCCCCGCCTGCCCCCCCCCCCCCCCGATCCACCAGAGGCACCGGCAGGTCAAGCTGAGGGAGTTCGTTGCACGATCGAAGGCTGCACTAAGTGGTTCCTCACCAAGAGGCAATGGCCCGTTCATGTTCGTGCGGCTCACGGCTTTAAGACTTTGCTGGGCGAGGCTACTCAGCGGGCCTCGTGTTTCGTTCGCTGCAGCCGGTTCTGGACTCGTTCGCTTCGGGCTTCTGCAAGCGCCAGCTCAGCACCGCGCTCGAGCTCGCTGTCCCCGAGGGCCCTTTTCATTGCCGCTCTTGCGAGGCTCAAGCTCAAACTGAAGCCGATCTTCACATGCATGCCCGCCTGCATTTCGAAGACTTGCCACTTGTGCTGCCCCATGGAGTTCGAGCCCAGCTGGGCGGCGAAGCGCAAGGCGGGCGGGGCAGACAGCAACTCGCGGTCTGCAAAGCAGGCGCGCCTACTACAGGAGCTCGGGGAGGAGGCGGCGCCCAAGCAGAAGGGCGGCAAAGGTGGCGCGCCGGCAGCCCTGCAACTGGTACTCGCGAAGCTCGCTCTCGCCAGCGCGCGCGAGTTGGCCGAGGTGACTGGCGCTTGCTTCACGTGCTAGATGGCCGGGGCGGGCGTCGGCGTCGCGAAGGTGCTGCGGGGGGCGGGGCGCGCCTGGGCCGAGAGCTGCAAGACGGGCGGCAAGGGCCATCAGCGCGGGCCGCCATGGCCCGATGTGTTCATGGCATTATCAAGTGGGCCTGCGCGGACGGGGCAGCGACCGCGCCAGCGCCAGTGCAGGAATTGTTGTTCAAAGATTACTGGCAGAAGGTGATCATGGCCCCGAATGCGCTCGAGCTGATGGCCAGCCACTGCCGTCGCTTTCGGATCCAAGCCTGCTGGTACGACAAGAAGAAGGCCAAGGCTCCAGATCGCTACAAGTT